TATATATATTTTATTTTATTTTTTTTTATCAAAGAGTAATATATAAGTAACATGATTTTAACAGATTTTCGTTAAAAAACTAAAACAACAAAAAAAAAAAGATAAAAAAATATTTTTTTGGGGTAGTTAGATACAAGCAAATCACTAGCCATTTTCTTTACGATCTCATGTTGAATGTGTGATTGTTTGTTTGGTTTTCAGTTGTCGCACCAGTAACCGCAAGAGCCTGATCTTGACCAGTACGTCTCCCACTCTTCCCCGGCCTCACTCTCCTCTGCCGGGACACATCGGTGAGCAGAGCACTCCTCACTGATCACATGATCTGCACCTCTGAGATACACACACATTCAGTGTAGTTCTCTCTGTCTGTCCCACAGGAAGCAGTCCGCTGGACAGTCCTAGGACCTTCTCTCCCAGCGCACCGGCCCATTTCTCTTTTGCATCATCCAGAAGGTAAATAAACAAATAACTAAACAACCAAGAAGCTGTTCTCCATTTGTTCCATTAGGCCTTGTTCAAAAATATGATGTTTTTGGCATGCCCGTCTCTAATCTTTTTAGTAATTGTAGTACAGGCATCTCTTTGTTTTGTGAGGCTTCATAAGTTTAGTACAACAGTGAAATGTCATGATGGACATCCCAGTTTTCCGTCCTCTCGTTCCACACTGGCTGCCACTGTCTCTTGCTGACATGCTTTTGCCAACAACTCACACTGACGACACAGTCTTAAGAAACGGATCAGATTTTGTCCCTCGCGGACAGCCAGTCCTAAAGATCAGATTTGAAGAACAAATTGAGTTTGTGTGAACGAAGCCTGACTGAAACTGCACATTTTCCCCAGTCGGTCTTGGTTTCACTGAAACAGAGTGATTCTGTTCAACAACAAAAGCGATCTCAAGACTCAAACATCCAGAGCAAAGCTAAAAATCAATACAGACGTTTTTCCTCGCAAGTGCTTTTAGCTAAAAGTTAGCTAAAGTTGCTATTTTTTATTTGCATTTTTGACCAAGCAATGCAAAACTTGCTCTTGTCTCTTATGTTCACTAAGGCTGCATTTATTTGAACAAAAATACAGGAAAAACTATAAAATTGTGAAATATTGTTTTCTATTTGAACATATTTAAAATGTAATTGATTACTGTGATACAAAGGTGAATTGTCAGCATCATTACTATAATTAGCTGATTTGCTGCTCAAGAAACAACTTAACATTATTGATGTTGAAAACAATTGTGCTGCTTATAATATTATTTGTAGAAACCATCATATTTTCCATTGATGAGAAGAAAGTTCACATAAACAGCATTTATTTGAAATATAAATCTTTTGTATTATTATAAAAGTCCTTACTGTCAAGTTTGATTAATTTGATTGTCCTTGCTGAATAAGAGTGTCAATTAAAAAAAAAGAAATACTGATGTTTGAGTGGTAGTGTACATTATGAAAACTCTTAAAATATATTTAGATTTTATTTACATTTTCTAAATAAAGATAATTTTTTTGTTTATTTATCCTTTATTTATTCATTCATTCTTATCATAAAAATAATTGCCATATTATTATTATTATTATAAAAGTCTTTACTGTCAATTTTGATTAATTTGATTTGTTCTTGATGAATTAAAGTATCATTTTAAAAAAGAAGAAGAAATCTTACTGATCCCAAATATTTGAATGGTAAAAGTCTGAAAATCTTAAAAATATATATTAAAAATCTTCAAATATATTTTAATTTTCTAAATAAAGATTAATTTTTTGTTTATCCATTCATTCTTATCATAAAAATAATTGGCATAATATTAAAATATTTTATTATAATAATTTCTTTAATAAAGCTGCTGTTCATTTAGGTCAGAGAGGTTCTTCATTGTAAAGATCAAGTCTGGTTTTGCTCTGGTTCAGAGGTTCGGGGAAGTCAAATGTGTCTGAAGTGAGGAAGGAGATTCTCCAGACGACCGACACACACACACACACACACACACACACACATCTCAGCATCATCATTCCCCAGCGCACAACAGCCCGTCACACAGCCGTTTGTCTAAAAGATGAGATTGAGGGATGAGAGACAGACGATTGATCCGTGCGCTCTTTCCCGTCTGACACGGCCCTGTACTGCGAGGGCTAATATTGGATTTAGCCAGTATAAATCTGGTGCAGCGAAATGGTTGCACAGCATGTGTCATCAATCCTGTCCAAAGCACAGAGCAGCTGCTCGCAGCAAACACAGAAGCATGAAATATATTGCTTGACAAAGAAGACACAATCCAGCCCGGAGCAGCAATGCATCACAACAAAAGTTTGTGCATGTACACCATCAACAAATGGCCCAGGCTCATTGGGGTCGTCTCTGCCGAGATGCTCTTTTCATTATGAGGAACCTTTGGTTCTGAGCGCACTGGTTCTGCTTTCTTCTAATGTGGTGGGATGACAGTTTTAATGACCCCACTGGGAATGCTGCCCGCACAGAAATACACACTAAACAGTGCAGAAATGCAATGGTTGCCTAGTAACCACACAAGAATGCCGCCACATGAAACAGACTTATAAACTCTGCCCACAAAGAACTGTGAAAACTGCACTTTACTCGCTCACATTTAATGTTTTACACAAGAAACATCAAACATACGAGTTTCAAACAGCCAGACGGGAAGCCACGCCCCCAATGCACACCATTGGTTGAGCTGATGTTTCTGTTTGCTGCTGCTAGTGGCACTGAAATGACACACTTTATCAACAGAAAGAAGCTCATCAAAGCTGCATTTATTTAATTAAAAATGCAGTAAAAGCTGTACAATTTTGAAATATTATTTTAATTTAAAATAACTGTTTTCTATTTGAATATGTTTTGAAATGTAATTTATTTCTGTGATCAAAGCTGAATTTTCAGCATCATTACTCCAATCCTATGATCCTTCAGAAATCATTCTGATATGCTGATTTACTGCTCAAGAAACATTTCTTATTATCAATGTTGAAAACAGTTGTGCTCCTTAATATATTTGTGTAAAATGTGACTTTTTTTGATGAATAGAAAGTGAAAAAACTGAATTAATTTAAAATAGAAATCTTTCCTACCATTATAAATGTCTTTACTTTCATCTTTGCATTAAAATATTTAGTATTAATTTCTCATACTGAACATGCCTACATTTTAATTTAGCTTTATCCTTTTAATTTTAATGTGGGAGGGACAATGAAACATTTAGCTGAACTTTAGCTTTTAAACATTTTGTTGAAATTAACAATAATTATTTCAATTTTATTTTTCACTTAAGATAAACTCCGATAAACTATGGTAATACTGTGCAAAATCTGGTGCATTTATGGATTACGAAACTTTGTCTCCCTCCGTAGGGCTGATGGCAGACGCTGGTCTCTGGCCTCTCTTCCCTCCTCTGGATATGGGACCAACACACCCAGCTCAACGGTACAGGACAAACTCACCCATAGAGTGCTGCTGCATTTATACCTTTGACTAAATAGCCACTTAAAGGTGCTGTTAGCCATTTTGCTAAAGTACTGCAGACACTGATATACTCCTCCACCATAAAACACACATGGATATATGAAATAGGGATGAATTAAAATGGATGAGAATGATGAATTTACAAAGAATCATAATGGGTGGAAAAACAATGGAGAAATGGTCCATTCTGCCCTTTTATTCGTCATTATTTAAAGAAAGATAATAGTGCATTGTCTAGATCCAGTGCAAGAATTCTGAATTGTTATAATTTATAAAAAGGTAACATTTTTCATAGATATAGTCTGTAATTTAAATTAATGTCTGGTAATTATATAATATTAATTATATTTGGAATATGGGTTTCATTAAAGCAACTTGACATCTTTGAGATCAAATGTGTGTTGAATAAAAATTCTGTTTTTATATTCTTACATTTTTATATTCTCCCAAACTCCCGAAAATAATGAGCTTAACTGTGCATTTCACTTCTGAATATGGATATCTGAATGAAGTTACATTACCATATACTGTATAGTGTGCTCAGAAGTGTGACGCTACTGGTGAAAATGTATATATATATATATATATGGGCCATTCTACAGAATTGGTGCAAACTGCTGTCCCACAACCAAAAAACACATTTAAAAAGCATTTAAGTAATTAAATCTTAGATGTTTATTAAGATCTTTCTATTATCTATTGAAACCCACAATAATATTTAAAATATTAGTAAGCTTAATATATATAAAACCATAATATATTGGGTACTTTCAGTTGTGAGGTGGCTGTCCCGAACCCTAACCCCTAAATTTCAACTTATGAAAATGATATTGAAATAATTTTTGTATTTTTTCCATTGTTGTTTTAAAAGTATATTTTTGATTCTTTTAAAAAGTGAAGTTCAAAAAAATATTTATTTTATATTTTCTTTGTAAAATATGAAACTTTATGTAAAAAAATGTGTCCCACATTTTTAATGTCACTACCGAAACAGTGTATATTTAGTCCTTTGGCTGAGACTGATTTTAAACACACCCATAAATTTGTGATCAGGAAATATTCCAGTGTCCTTCTGTCTCATAGCTACAAGGTGTGAGTAGATAGGTCTTATCATTTTGAGGTAAATGTGTTCAAAAGTCTGAAGAATCTGTGTGTAACTTTAAGGAACGTCACTACCGAACAACTTTTTTCTGCAATTAAGCACACTTTGTTGGGAGTTATTCCATAACATTTAGTTTTTATATGTATACCACTGTTCAGAACTGTGCTAGCTAACCATGTGCTGTTTAGCATCTTTGAGCTAGGTTCAAAAGTATCTAAAATTGTCACTAACGAAACATTTGGTGGGGTTTCGGTAGTGACATCTTTGTTTTTGTTTTTGGGGTGTTATCCCATAGAATTGTCAAAAAGGAATACATAACCCTCATATTTGGAGGAAATAAACTACATTTTAGTAGAGTTTTGCATTTTTTTTTTTTGTATTTTAGTATGTTTTAGTAGTGTTTTAGTATGTGAGTTAAAATTCTGTAATGTGATGTGGTTGCTACCAAATCATTACTGTCACTACCGAAAATGTGCAGTCACCACTGAAACATTTTGCTTCAATGTATATTCAAACTAATGAATCCTTTGCGTGATCAACTTTTTGCAACAAAGAAAAATTGGATTCAAAATACAACAAATCTCATAAATTACCTCTGAGAAATCAATAAAATAGCAAAAAAATATATTCACAATCTAGATGTAAGCAAAATCTTAATAGGTCAATATAACCTTTCTAATTAAATTATTATTACTGTGTTTCGGTAGTGACAAGTTTGGGGAGAGGACAACTCTCTGAAAATACAATATGAGAATTAACTGCACAATTACTAGAAATGTGTACCTTGGATATTATACAATTTGCATACATACAAATTTTCTGGAAAAAGACCATCTTTTCTTTTTTAAGATGTTTCCAACTCTGACTTTGGACCAATTCTGTAATATATATATGTAATGTATATAGATATAGATATAGATATACTGTATATATAATATAAAATGCAAAAAACAAACACACTTTTGTTTTTTCTTTTCTTATATATCTCACACGCTCATAAGCAGCTGATTGCCTGTATAGCAGCACATGTCACACAAACACAATGTCAAGTTGAACAGGCCACATTTGATAGAATAAAGCCAAGAAAAAACAGACAGCAAACAGCATCAGTAGCCTTACACATATGTGACCCTGGAGCACAAAACCAGTCTTAAGTCGCTGGGGTATATTTGTAGCAATAGCCAAAAATACATTGTATGGGTCAAAATTATTGGTTTTTCTTTTATGCCAAAAATCATTAGGATATTAAGTAAAGATCATGTTCCATGAAGATATTTTGTAAATTTCCTACAATAAATATATTAAAACTTAATTTTTGATTAGTAATATGCATTGCTAAGAACTTAATTTGGACAACTTTAAAGGTGATTTTCTCAACATTTTGATTTTTTTGCACCCTCAGATTCCAGATTTTCAAATAGTTGTATCTCGGCCAAATATTGTTCTATCCTAACAAAACTTATTTATTCAGCTTTCAGATGATGTATAAATCTCAATTTCGAAAAATTGACCCTTATGACTGGTTTTGTGGTCCAGGGTCACACATTATCTTTCATTTCTTGTTCTATTCGTGCCAATGCAGAAAACAAGTTGGTGTTCATCCAACCATTTGACGACTGCTTGAGCTGCTCAGTTGTTGGTTGTGATAATGTCAATGGCTGTCAGTCTGTGGAGTGTTTGGTGATCAAATGCTCTTCATGGTTGAAATAATGGTTTAACTGGTGGTTCTTGGGAAGTGTTCTTGGGTTCATCTGTTTTTTTCTCATAAACTCAAGTTGCTTTTGGCCTTTAATTGACTCTAGAGTGACATATATTTGTGATTAAAGCCAAAATCATTCACTCATTAACACGGGGTAACATCGAGTAGGAGTGAAAATCATTACCGCAGGCCTGTGTGTTTCATTTACAACTCACTCCACTCATTTGGGTCGGTAATCTTCTTTTATAAGTCTATCCTGGATTTACTGCACAAGACATGTGGAGCATACACAAATAAATGAAGTTAGACAGCTCAAGCGCATTGTAAACCTCGTAAAATGGCTTTGGCTCTGTATATTCAATGAAATGACAAAAGCCATGATTCTGGAGACATGCAACAAAATATGCTATATAGAATGCAAAAAGTCGAAAATTTAACATAACTTTATAAAAACGTGTAAAATATATTAGCATTTTCTTACAAAATGTGTTTTTTCCTCATCATTTTATGTGTCAACACCAGGATTATTATCATTAGCTAAAACTAAAAACATTTGAAAATAAAAACGTACGTGAAATAAAATACAAAAATGTTTATAAAAAGCAAAACATTAAATTATGCATTAAAATGCTTAATATGTTATGTTGATAATACATTTTGTATAATTAATAATATATGTATATATGTATATATA